AGGTTGAAAACCAGTGATCTAAAGGATGGGGCTTAGCAGGGAGGGTGCATTTAGGAACATTCAGAATAATATGCAGACCGGGGCACATTTTATAATCTCGGGGTGCTGTGAGAATGACGGGACAAATTCCTCTCGCACTGTTAGAAATGGCAAGTTGTGCTAGAGGATCTGTCACTGGAAAAGTCACTTTCCACGGAGTTGCTATACAGTCTCAGTTTTGACTTGTGACCTGTGGGGATCAGGCTGATCTCATGGATAAGACCTGGCCATTCTGTAGCTATCAGTGCACACGGCCTTAAACTCCTCCTAGCCTACATCAGAATTCAGAAAACGTCTCTCCCACTCAAGCTGCTTTTTGAAAGACAACATGGAAATAACAACAAAATGTCAGTCACGCATTAGGAAGCCCAATTGCAAAGAGATGGCAAACACGCTATGGAACCCAGGAAAAGATCCCTCACTTCAGCATCTCATCAGAAGCTGAAGCACCCCCTGAAGGACCCAGTAAATATCCAAGCAGAAGCCACTGCAAAGCTCCAGCAAGTACAGTCTGTTGTGTCTCCAACGTGAGCAATCCCCATGCAAAATGGCACAACAATCTCCAACAGATTCAGAACCCAGCAGCTGGAAACTCCATCTGTTCCCAGGCACGAGTGCCGCCAGTCCAACAATGGGACAATGAAAGCTGTGTCAGGTCCCCAATATTGGTACAGAAGATGCTGCTGGACTGAAATGCCCTGGCAGAGCTGAGTATGAGGGGGGTCAAAGCCTGGAACAGCAAGATGATACTGCAGGTCTGGGCCGGGTTGCATTGGCAGAGCTGCGAGGAAGCTCAGTAAGGAGTGAGGTATGGACTGAGATATGCTTTAAGAGCCTATATGCATCCGAAGAAGTGGGCTGTAGTCCACGAAAGCTTATGCTCTAATAAATTTGTTAGTCTCTAAGGTGCCACAAGTACTCCTGTTCTTCTTTTTGCGGATACAGACTAACACGGCTGTTACTCTGAAACCTGGCTTTAAGAGCCGTGTGTGTAGGCCCAGGACTGGAGCAGTAAGGCGCGGTGCAATTCTGAATGGAGGTGCTTCAGTAGAGCTCAGTGTGAGTGGCCCGAATCTGGAAGAGCATGGGGTGCTGCAAGTCCAAATTGAGCTGGCATTGGTCAAGAAGTGAGTGTTGCAAAGGGGAACTCATCCCATGCCTGTGGTCAATGCTGCTCACACCAGAGCGGTTAACGTTCTGACTTTAATGAGCACCAAATTCAACTGCAATGTTCGAGAACAGAGAATTCAGAGACGAGGATGCAACAATAGACAACATTCTGCAATAAGGGGGTGGTGGTACTGAAGTCAGTGAGGCTACATGGGAATAACTAGGAGCAGAATTTGCCCCAATTTCTGCAAGCCTCTTCACTTCCCACCAACCCAAATTCATCCCATCTCAATCTGACCCCAGCTCCATTGACTCTTTCTGTAGGTAGGAGAGAGGCTGCTGAACGGGGCTGGGAGATCTCCGTGTAACGCATTATTCTGCAATTTAATGCAGTAAAGCCTAGCAAAAACAGATCATTAAGAAATTGTGCACAGCTTCAATGGAAAAAGAATGTATATACAGCACATCATAGTCCGGCCTCTGGCTACATTCTGTCGCCTTTCACAAAATCATTAGATAAAAGGAAAACTTCAGGTACGCTCCCCTTTTCTTGTGCCGGTAAATAAACGCGACTTGTCTGAACTCCAGGAGCAATGAGAGAGTGGACTGTCTGACATAAAAGGTGGCTTGGTGCCAACTTCCTATAATTGGGTTATGCCCTCTGTTGTATCTTCTCCTTTCCCACCCAACTCTAATTCGGTTCCATGTTCTCCTGATTTCCCCCCCTAACACAGCAGCATGGCCCCTGCATGCCTAACCCAGGCTGCTGCAGAAATACAGGAAAGGTGACTCAGCGAGGCACAGGGGCAGTCCCAAACTGCTGAGTCATAGCCCTGACCAGCCAAGTGCCTTTGAATGCAGACAGTGGGCTGGGGCAAGGAGAGAGATTCCACCACTCTCTGGTATTTATTTCCAGCAGGCTGCTGGTAATTAGCATTGGTGGAAGGATCCTAGCAAGGGAAAAAGGGGAACAAAAAAACCCCAACACATCCATAGTAACACAGAGTCTCTCTTCCCTCTGGCCCATAGGCCGTTTTTACACTTTATATTTTCCCATCAGTGCTCGGATACTGTTGTGGACACAGTGCGGGGGGTGAGGGAGGGACGCGAATTTTAACTGTGAGACAGATTTTCCAAAGAGCTCAGGCTCCCGCGTGCATTGCTGGACACTTTAGGAGAATTAAAAAAAGAAAGATTAGTACAGACACAGCGCCACTGTTTGAAAATGCAGCTTGTCTTGGGCAAGAGATATTCTTTTGTTCGGGGTTGGGGAGCACATCCACCGTCTGCATTACCTCTTACGAGAGGGTGTCAGGTCTCTGTATTGTGCATTAGCTTAGCAACAGGATAATGCAATGTCTCTCCTCAGAAGAGCTGATTCCAGGGCAGAGTGGATTAATGAAGAGTGGATTGGCACTGCTCAACAGGATACTTTTCACAGCACGTGAAGGCTCCCATCATGCCCTGTGCTTTTCACTGACACGTTTATATGCTTTAAGAAAAATGGGTCTTGCAAAATTGGCTGATCCTAGCTCTCATGTGCCGCTACCTGGTATAAACAGAGCGACATGGTTATATAAGGGATATAACTCCCCCCACACAGCCTTAATCCAGGTTGTTTTAGGAACAGCGGCGGCTCCAGGCACCAGTGCAGCAAGCGCGTGCCTGGGGCGGCAAACCGCGGGGGGTGCCCTGCCGGTCCCTGCGAGGGCAATTTGGCGGCGGGTACGCCAAAGCCGCGGGACCGGGGACCTCCCACAGGCACGCCGCCGAAGGCAGCCTGCCTGCCGTGCTTGGGGCGGCAAAAAAGCTAGAGCCACCCCTGTTTAGGAAG